CGGTGAGCTGAGATCGCACCATTGCACTCCAGCCTGGGCAACAAGAGCGAAACTCCGTCTCAAAACAAAAAAAAAAAAAGAAAAAAAAAGATTAAAAAACGTTTCCTTTCTAACCACCCTCAATCTCTCCTTAACTCTTGTAATTATGGCCCTATGCTGATCTCTGTGTGTTTATGTTGATTATATGTCTGTCCTGTCTCTCCTGAGGGAAGGGAGTATGTCCGATCTTATTGACATGTACCCAAAAAGTGTCTAGCTCAGCCTGCTGCCCATCATCTGCACAGCTCATTCTGGACTTACTGCACAACCCTCCCTCACCGTCTAACCTATTCTGCACCAGGAAAATCTGCTGTTCCCCATCAGGAACTGCAGCCTCATCCAAACACCAACCTTCCTACCCAGCTTCACCAATGTGTCCTGTGCAATCCATCTACTCACTTTCCCTGAGAGAGACCAGCTTTTCCAGGCTGTAAGCCTTATCCATGACACCCTACACTCCAGTCTAAAAAGCTCCTTCCTCTTCCTCATCATGAAATTTCAAAATCCATCTCGAATGGGATGGATCCTAACCCACTGAAATGGGAAATCCAACCTATATCCTACCCATCCCTGTACCCTGCTTCCTCAATTTTTTTGTTAGTTTTTTGAGACAGAGTCTCTGGTCTGGCAACAGCCCAGGCTAGAATGCAGTGGTACAATCACAGCTCACTGCAGCTTCTACCTCCTGGGCTCAAGCGATCCTCCCACCTCAGCCTCCCGAATAGCTGACACTACAGGTGCACACAACCACATCAGGCTAATTTTTTAAATTTTTGTGGAGACGGGGTCTCACTATGTTGCCCAGGCTCCCTGCTTCCTCCATGAATTCTTCTTAGACCATTCCAGCTCTCAGAGACATATCTCCGTGAAATTCTTCCCACACTGACTGAACCACTCATCCAGCACTGAGCACTTGCTGCTTTGTATTTTGTCACATATGTGTTCTCATGGATAAGACTTGTTCCCTACAGATACATCTGAAGAAAACACACTCTCAGCTAGGCACGGTGACTCACACCTGTAATCCCAGCATTTTGGGAGGCTGAGGCAGGCAGATCACTTGAGGCTAGGAGAATGAGACCAGCCTGGCCAACATGGCAAAACTCTCCGTCTCTACTAAAAATACAAAAATTAGCTGGGTGTGGTGGCAGATGCCTGTAATCCTAGCTGCTTGGCTGGCTAAGGCACGAGAACTGCTTGAACGCCAGAGGCGGAGGTTGCAGTGAGCTGAGATGGCATCACTGCACTCTGTTGAATGAGGGTTAAATATCACACATTTTGGGTCAGGCATGGTAGTTCACACCTGTAATCCCAGCACTTTGGGAGGCCCAGGCGGGCAGATAACCAGAGGTCAGGAGTTCAAAACCAGCCTGGCCAACATGGTGAAACCCCATCTCTAGTAAAACTACAAAAATTAGCCAGGTGTGGTGGCAGGCGCCTGCAATTCCAGCTGCTTGGGAGGCTGAAGCAGGAGAATTGCTTGCACCTGAGAGGCAGCGGCTGCCATGACCCAAGATTGCACCATTGCACTCCAGCCTAGGCAACAAGTATGAAACTCCGTCTCAAAAAAAAAAAAAATTCACACATTTTGAAAGCAAATTTTAGGAGGGTCATGCTCAACTGGGCTATGCTTTCCCTAATTGTAGCACGCAGGATTCTGGATTGGAATTGTCCAGGTGTTTGTCTGTCTATTTGTCAAGCTTGTAATTGTGAGAGCAGGAACTGTGTGTGCCCCACTCACCAGTGCAGTGCACAACGCCTGGTACATAGGAGGCATCTCATTACATGTTGACTGAATTAGCTGAATATAGTTTTTCCCCTTGCTGTCACCAGGAGCTGGTGTCAGGGCTGAAAAAGGAATTCTTTCAGGTAAGAGCAGTTTGGGTAGAGCTAATGGACCCTGAGGATGATGGGGCAATTTCCCCCATGTCTGTGGTAACTCCTGGCTGCCCACCCCTTAGCCAGTCTCGCCTGTGAACACTCACCGTGGTGTGTCCATCCTCATCATACTGTCGCAGCTGCCCCAGGAACTCCAGGTGCTTCTTTTCCTCCTCCAGCTGAGCCACAGCCTGTTCACTGCGCTGTAGCCGCTGCTGGGTGCCAGCCAGCTCGTCCCGCAGCCACTGGTTCTCCTGGCATAGCCGCCGCACCTGAGCCCGCAGCTTCTGTTTCTCCGACTCCACTGTGCTCAGGTGGCTGGCTAGAGCCAGCATCACCTAGATGGGCATATCCCCTGAGCTCCAGATTCTGGGTGGGAGTATTCAGGAACAGGTGGAAGGGGAGCCTACTGGGACGTAGCAAGACTGGCAGGTGCACAAAGGAGCCAGAAGGTGGGGGTGTAGCAGTGGCACTACCTTCAAAACATCCTGAATCCAATTTCCCACCACCTCCACTGCCGTCACCCTGGGCCAAGCCACTATCAATTCCTACCCAAATTACTACAATAACTTCCTCACTGGCCTCCTTGTTGCTGCCCTTGTTCTCCTACTGTCTATTCGTAACCCAGCAACCAGATGATGCCAAGTTAGACCACATCACTCCTCTTCTAAAAACATTCCAATAGTTTCCATCTCACTCAAAGTAAAATCAGGGTCAGGCACAGTGGCTCACGCCTGTAATCCCAGCATTTTGGGAGGCCAAGGCGGGTAGATCATGAGGTCAGGAGTTCAAAACCAGCCTGGCCAACATGGTGAAACACCATCTCTACTAAAAATACAAAAATTAGCCGGGTGTGGTGGTGTGCGCCTGTATTCCCAGCTACTCAGGAGGCTGAGGCAGGAGAATCGCTTGAACCTGGCAGACAGAGGTTGCAGTGAGCCAGGATGGTGCCACTACATTCCAGCCTGGGCAACAGTGCAAGACTCCATCTCAAAAAAAAAAGTAAAATAAAAGTCCTCGGGATGGCCTACAAGTTCCACTTGATCCATCTCCCTCCCCTCATTCACTCTACTGCAGCCATACTGGCCCCTTGCTGTTCACTGACCTCACCAGGCAGACTTCCGTTCAGAGTCTCTGCACTTGCTGCTCTCTCTGATTAGGACGCCCTTCCCCTGTTTAATAGGCATGACTCATTCCCCTCACCTTCACATCTTTGCCAAAATGTCACCTTTTCAAAAAAGGGTGACCTTTTTTGACCACCCTATCTAAAATTATACCCTCTCTCCACAGTCCCTAGTTTCCTTCCCTGCTTTATTTTGGTCCTTTTATCCTTAGCAATTATCATTCTGGCATACCAAATCATTATTTATTTAGGTATTGTCTGTCTTCCCCAGCTAGAAGGTAAGTTCCAAGATGGCAAAGATTTTTACAATTTTGTTCAATGATGTATTTCTTCAGTGACCAAAAGCATTCTGGCACATAGTAGTGACTTAATACATATTTAATGAATGGATGCAAACGTCTAGAGTGAGGTGATCCCAAGCAACCCCAAACCTTCAATCAGGTACCTGTTCCTCCATCCACCCTGGACCACTTGGCACCACCTTTGCCCTCTCACCTGGGCCTCACTCAGCCCGAGCTCAATGTTTTCCATAGAACGGCGAAGCTGCCGGGCCTTCTCATGCACCAGCCCTTCCTCATGGCCTCCCTGCTGCAGACACTCAATGGTCTGGGACAGGCTTTGCAGCACGGCCTGGTGTTCACTGTGCAGGGCCTCTAGCCCTTGGCTGACCAGCCGTGTGCTCCCCAGGATCTCCTCTTGGCTGAGCCGGTGGCCTGCAGGCTCATCCCGCTGCCCCAACACCAGGCCTGACATCCTGGCCTGGGGGACCTTGCCCGGTCTAGGGAGAAACAACAGAGTTCGGCTGGCGTAAAGATGAGACAGAGAAGCTGAGAACTTTCTCAGAGGGTGGTGGGAATCCAAGTGAAGGGACAAAAGTAAGAGTGACCCTGTGGCTTAGTTGGAGAGAGAGAGTGACCAGCAGGCAGGGAGCCCAGATCACTAAACTCAAAGTTAAGGTTGTGGGCAAAGTGAGAGGGAGATGAATTGACTTAAATAAAGAAAGACTATAGTAGGAGCAAAGGTGCTTAGAACTAGCAGAAGGATTCAGGACTTAGGAAGAGAACAGAAAAGCAGTTAGATTCTGAGTTAGGAAAAGTTATCCAGGGATGAGAGACAGCACTATGGAGATCACAGAGGATCTGAGGGAGAGCTTCAAAGGGCACACGGCTAAAGTGGGATTATGCAGAAAATAATGCAAGGATCTAGAAAAAAGAGAAGGAATCTCTGCAAAGTTAAATCAGGGAAGAAAGGGAAAAGAAGAAAACAGGAGCCTTCCTTGCAGGATCCACATTAGAGGGTCCCAGAAAGCTCAAGGTCTTCAGGCTGCATCACCTGCAGAACTAAGCCCAGCATCTCCAAACCTGGTCAGTCCTACATCTTTTCCTACTTACCTTCAACCCATACTTCCCACCCCCCAGGACCCAGACTGTGTTCCCGCTTCCTCAGAAGGGTCTTGTTTCTCATCTTTGAAGTCTTCTTACCTGTGTACAAAGCAGAGGCCCTGGCTGTGGCACTCAGGCCGGAGCCCGGAAGAAATGTTCAGCAGCCAGAGAATCAGAAGGATCTGCCCTGCCCAAAGTCCAGAAGTCCAGCGTTCCCACCCCTTCTCTCACCACTTCACAGCTACCCAGAGGACCTGGCACAGAGCCCCACCCAGGACAAACAGCCTCCCTCCCTCACTCCCTCTGCCTACAGGTCTTTAAAGACGCCCAATTCCCTTCTTCTTCCCCAAGCCAGCCTCCCTCATCGCCGGCCTGGGGAGCTACTGTCTCCCAGGAATATGAGAGAGAGACACTTAATCAGCGACCTACAGCAAGAGGCATGTCTGGGAAAGGGGAGGGAGGAACACCTGGTCACTCCACACCCAGTCACTTCAATGGCTTTGTCTCTGTCACGGTCACCTACAAACAGGCTCTGAGAGGTATCACCGTAGGGTGCCCCCCTAATGCCCGATGATGCAGGGAAGAATGGGAGGTCTGCTGAACGGCTGCCGGGTCACAAGGAGGGTCTCCCCGGCCTGGAAACGCAGTAAAGGAGTGCCTCGGGCTGTCGACCTGCCCTGGGGCCCAGGGTTGGGAGAATGAGATGGGCGGGGGCGGTAGGGGGGAGGTGTGGATGGACGACCGAGGTCCGGGGCTCCAGCGAGGACCTGGAGGCCTAACGACCCCGAGGTCACTGAATCAGTTGGTGGCGCAGGGGGCGGGGCAGGCCGGCTATCTGTCTGTCTGGACGCCGAGGGGCGGGGAAGAATCGCGAAGGGCGGAGTTTTTGAGCCTGGAGTTTTGTAAGATTGGTTGGAGGGGGTTTGTTTATCTTTCTGGGAGTGCGAGAATAAGAGATGGCAGAGACCTTAACCTTCAGCCTCAGAGGTACCCTCAAAGACTCACCTGCAATCTGCCGGTCTGGCTGCCGCTCTTGCCGGTACTGCCCCTTTAAATCCATGATGGCTGCCGCTCGAGGCAATTGTTTTGACGGGTCTGGGGGCGGGGCCTGTTTCCTAGTCACGGGACATTAGAGCTGCCCGCGGATTGGCTCTCACCGCGTTCAGGTAGGAAAGGAGGTGTGTATCCTGCTTGGGCTCCAGTTTTCTGCCCGCCTCCGTTTACGTTTTGCGGAGCGACGGCGCCGGACAGTCAACGTCATCTAGGAGCGCCGAGCAGCTTGGCTAAAAGTAAGGGTGGCGTGCTGAGCCCTGGATAGCCGGATGGCCCTGTGGGCACTGACCCGCGCTCTGCGCTCTCTGAGCCTGGCGCCCCCGACCGTCGCCACCCCTGCCCCGAGTCTGTTCCCCGCCGCCCAGGTAATCCATCTTACCCGGGAAGAAGGCTGCTTCCATTCGGGCTACCGGAGATGGGGTCTGCGGGGATGCGAGGCGGGGGTTGCAAGTCTGGTCAGGAGTCACGCAGGTCCATGACCATGGATAAGGCACACTCAGCCTCAGCTTTTTCCTCCACAAGTGTTGCTATCTCATAGGGCGAAATTCTTCAGACGAGATACTTAAGGTGAAAGTGCTTTACAGATCACCGGTTATACAGGTTTCGGTAATAACTATCGTTTATCGAGTGCCTATGATAAGCCAGGTATAGGTAATAGACGTTTCAAATAAATGAACTCCTTTCAAATACTCTATAAGGCAGTTACTATTCCCATTTTGTAGATGAGGAAAATGATAAGGAGTCCAAGGTCACACACACAACTATCAGAGCTAAGCAGTCTGTCTTTCAGAGCCAGTGCTTTTAACCATTATGATACGATACCTACAAGGATGAGTTACTGCTGATATTAGAGAATGCAGGGCAAGATACAAAGAACAGTGGCCTCAGGGGAAGGTATCCTGAGGTCCTAGTGGGTGGGTGACTGGTGAGTCACGCAAAAGAGAAGTAAGTCTTGCTCCTCTGGAGCTCTCAAGCTGCTTATGGTAGAGTTTGACAGATGCATGTTTAAAATTCAAATCCAAATCAACCTACTCTGAAATGCTGGGAATACAGCAAGGAACAAGAGTGAAATGACCCCTCCCCTCCATTCGTATGTGAATAATTCCCAGCAACATAATGCAAAGGGCAAAAGGAATTGGCACTGATGGTGATACATGGATGTATGGAAGTTACCAGCTATGGAGAAGGGAATTGTTTAGGTAAAAACAGATTCCTGGAGATGGAGAGTTCTGGGCCAAATTTGGAAGGAGATGATCATGGGGAGAACATTATTGGGCAAGCTGTGAAGGGTGGAATTTTTGGATAGCTGGTTTGGGATACATCCAGGAGGAAGTGGGCTGCAAGCTAAAATTGATCAGTGCCCTCCGACTTGGTTCTCTGATGCTTTGCCTTCAACTAGCTTTCAAATGAAAGAGATGTCTTTTTATCCCCAGATGATGAACAATGCCCTCCTCCAACAGCCCTCTGCCTTGATGTTGCTCCCCTGCCGCCCAATCCTTACTTCTCTGGCCCTTAATGCCAACTTTGTGTCCTGGAAGAGTCGTACCAAGTACACCATTGCACCGGTGAAGATGAGGAAGTCTGGGGGCCGAGACCACACAGGTGGGAGCAAGGACAAGGGGATTTAAGCAATCAAAGGGAAAAACATGTTAAGACCCTAGATCTGTATATTGACACACTTGTACCTTGTAAGGCAGAGGAATGTAATTAAAAAGCACTTATTTGGCTCCTTTTGCATGTAGTATGTGCACAGGAACCAGAGAGTAGAATACAAAGCAAAAGGTAATTGGTCTGTACTTCTAAAGATATTTTGGGTAATTGAAGAAAATGGGCCATACACAGGATGTGCCATGACATTTTCCTTCACACCCTTCGAAAATTTATAACAGACTGGGTAAGGTTGCTCATGCCTGTAATCCCAGCACTTAGGGAGGCTGAGGTGGGCAGATCACCTGAGATCACAAGTTTGAGACCAGGCTGGCCAACATGGCAAAACCTCGTCTCTACTAAAACTATAAAAATTGGCCAGGTGCAGTGGCTCACACCTATAATCCCAACACTTTGAGAGTCCAAGGCAGGCAGATCACTTGAGGCCAGGAATTCAAGACCAGCCCGACCAACATGGTGAAACCCCATCTCTACTAAAAATATAAAAATTAGCCAGGTGTAGTGGTGCAGTCCTGTAATCCCAGCTACTTAGGAAGCTGAGGCATGAGAATCACTTGAGCCTGGGAGGTGGAGCCTGCAGTGAGCCAGGATCGCGCCATTGCACTCTAGCCTGGGCAGCAGAGCAAGACTCTGACTGAAAAAAAAAAGATTAACCAGGTGTGGTGGCAGGCACCTGTAATCCCAGCTACGCAGGAGGCTGAGGCAGGAGAATCACTTGAACCCAGGAGGTGGAGGTTGCAGTGAGCCGAGATCACGCCATTGTATTCCAGCCTGGGTAACAGAGCAAGACTCGTCTCAAAAAATGTGTATATTTATAACAGGCTGGGTGTGGTTGCTCATGCCTTTAATCCCAACACTTTAGAAGGCCAAGGCGGGAGGATCACTTGAGGTCAGGATCCAACCTGGGCAACAGAGTGATACCCTGTCACATGCACAAAAAATAACAGTTGAAATTATTTGAGTATGATTTACATGACTCTAGTAAACTTATTGATTTCAGTAATTTGAAAATATTTTATCTGGAAGTTTTATACAATTTCAGTAATGTTTTTTCACTTAGCTTCATGTTGGTGTTGACCCTCCTTACTCCAGTGTGCTGTGCAAATTGTGATCATTCTCTGTAAGCAGTGCTCTCTGGCAGAGAATGGGCCAGGTCCCAGTGCTGGAAACTGAACTACTCTCACCTGAATCATATCCCCCAACTGTCCTAAACCACAGGCCGAATCCGGGTGCATGGTATTGGTGGGGGCCACAAGCAACGTTATCGCATGATTGATTTTCTGCGTTTCCGGCCTGAGGAGACCAAGTCAGGACCCTTTGAGGAGAAGGTTATCCAAGTCCGCTATGATCCCTGTAGGCAAGTTTGGGATGTGGGATGATGATGGAATGGTCTGAATAACTGCATAGCTTCTCAGGAGATGTAGGGCTGCCTAGATGGTCTGCTTACCTGTCCCTCACCCTGATCAGGTCAGCAGACATAGCTCTGGTTGCTGGGGGCAGCCGGAAACGCTGGATCATCGCCACAGAAAACATGCAGGCTGGAGATACAGTCTTGAACTCTAACCACATAGGCAGAATGGCAGGTGAGAGATGGCTACCAGATGTGTGGGCTGGAGGCAGCAAAGGTTCTAGAGCTAATGAAATCCTGTCTTTTAGTTGCTGCTCGGGAAGGGGATGCGCATCCTCTTGGGGCTCTGCCTGTGGGGACCCTCATCAACAACGTGGAAAGTGAGCCAGGCCGGGGTGCCCAATATATCCGAGCTGCAGGTATGGGGAAAGGAGTTGCCTGGGTCCTATAGTTTGGAAAGGCAAGGAGAGTCTGAACCCATGGTTCCACATCTGGTACTGGCAGAGAAAATTAAGGAAAAAACAAGAAACATGAGGATGAAGATATGCATGTGTTTTGACCTAAAATGTAGCATGCATCCTTCTTTGTGTATCTGTTCCTAAAGAGCAAAGCAAGGGCAGCATGTGGGATGTGGCCCCTGTGTAAATTCCTCTGCACCCCCCCGTTTTGTGGAGGGTGGCAGATCAGCTTCTTTCCCCAGGGACGTGTGGTGTGCTACTGCGGAAGGTGAATGGCACAGCCATTATCCAGCTGCCGTCTAAGAGGCAGATGCAGGTGTGTATGGGTATGGCTGGGAGGGGTCAGCAAAGGAGGAATTTTTGGAATATAACTTTCCTGTCTGGGGTAGGTAGGTCCCAGGTGTTTTATGATGCAAGGAACTGCCTTGAGCTAAGGCTGTCCTTTTCTGCCACATGACTTAGGTGTGCTTTGTCGGATTGGCACCATAAGTAATTTTTTTTTTTTCGAGACAGAGTCTTGCTCTGTCGCCCAGGCTGGAGTGCAGTGGCACGATCTTGGCTTACTGCAACCTCCACCTCCCAGGTTCAAGCAGTTCTCCTGCCTCAGCCTCCTGAGTAGCTGGGATTGCAGGCATGCACCACCACAGCTGGCTAATTTTTGTGTTTTAGTAGAGATGGGGTTTCACCACGTTGGCCAGGCTGGTCTCGAACTCCTTACCTCGTAATCCGCCTGCCTTGGCCTCCCAAAGTGCTGAGATTACAGGAGTGAGCCACTGTGCCCGACCCTAATTTTTTTTGAGACAGGGTCTCTATTGCTTGAGTGCAGTGGCACAGTCAGCTCACTGCAGCCTCAAACTCCTGGGTTCAAGCAATTCTGCCTCAGCCCCCCAAGTAGCTGGGACTACAGGCGCACGCCACTATACCAGGCTAATTTTCGTATTTTTGTAGAGGCAAGGTATCACCATGTTGGCCAGGCTGGTCTCAAACTCCTGAGCTCAAGCGATCTGCCTGCCTAGGCTTCCGAAGTGCTGGAATTACAGGTGTGACCCACTGCACCTGGCCCTGGCTAATATTTTTTATTTTTGTAGAGATGGGGTCTCATTATGTTGCCCAGGCTGGTCTCGAACTTCTGAGCTCAAGTGATCCTCCAGCCCCGGCCTCCCAAAGTGCTGGGATTACCGGCCTGAGTCCTTGCGCCCAGCTCTTTGTTTTCAACTACCTAGTTCCTACTGTAGGACCTTCACTTAGCTTCAACCATCTTGTGCTTTTCCTTTTTCCTCTCTCCTCTCCTTGAGTCTAAGAAGCCCCCCAAGGGTTTTGCTGTCAACACTGTCAAGCTCTTTCCCCCACATTGTATAGAATCTCCATCTGTTTTCTCTGTCAGGTGCTGGAAACGTGCATAGCAACAGTAGGCCGAGTATCCAACGTTGATCATAACAAACGGGTCATTGGCAAGGCAGGTCGCAACCGCTGGCTGGGCAAGAGGCCTAACAGTGGGCGATGGCACCGCAAGGGAGGCTGGGCTGGCCGAAAGATTCGGCCACTACCCCCTATGAAGAGTTACGTGAAGCTGCCTTCTGCTGCTGCCCAAAGCTGATATCCCTGTACTCTAATAAAATGCCTCCCCCTCCTGTAATCTGTTACTGGTTTTTTGCGGGAGGGGATGGTACAGACTGAACGTGGGGAAAAGAAGTAAAAAGTGTGGGAGGAAAAGAAAGTACAGGACACTGGGTCTGTCCCCACCCCAATTCCCTTACAGGTAATGGAGCCGGGGGTGGAAATAAATGACGTCCAAGGCCTTTTCCAGTTGTGACTGGGAAACAGGGTGGGCACTTCCGCAGGAGGGAGGACAAAAGGAAGAGGAAAGGGCGGCGCAGAGGAGGAGGTGCTGCGTCGCCAAGGTGGCATCCGCGGCTCCTCCCCGGCCCTTTCCCAGGGCCCCTAGCCTTCCGCTGGGTCCGGCGGAAATGAGCCGTGGCTTTTGGCTGGCGGAGACGCTGGCAGGGACCAGGCTCCACCCTGCCCCAGTGGCTGCCGACCCAGGCGGCTGCCGCTCTGTTCCGCAGAGGCACGCCCCTTCCTGTCTCTCCGTCTCGACCCCCTCGCGGGGCCCAGGTGGGGCCCGAGTCGCCGCCAGCATCTGTGCCGCGTCCCTTGCTCTGTGAAGGACAGGCCTCGCGCCAGGACCCCGGTGGACTTCTGAGGTGGCCAGAGCCCCGCCGCGGCCCCTTGCTCCTCTCCTGCCCACTTGCCCATCGAGCCTTGCGCTCACCCAACCTCGGTTCCCCATCCTACTGGGCCTCGGGGTTCTAGTTTATGGGGCCTAATCCCCCCTCCCCCACTTTACCGCGCCCCCCTGGCTTCTCGGGTCTCCAACCTCGGTCCCCCAAGCCTCGCGCCCCTCACCTACCTTGTCTGTGCACCCTGCCCTGGGTCTCGCGGCGCCCCCACCAGCCCTTTTGTTCCAGTTGCTCCAGTCGCTCCAGTCAGAGGCGCCTCCAACCCACCAGTGCCTCCTCCCAGTCCATCGCGCCTTGCCCTCCCACTCCACCACCAGTTCTCAGGTCTCTTAACTCTGCGATCTCGGGACTCTTAACTTGGGTCTCACACTCCCATGCTCCAATCCTTAGAGACAGCACCCCTTTCCACACACACTCAGGATCTCCCTCCCAAACATACCCCTCTGGGCTTCACATATCCCCAGGGTAGCTGCCTGTTTCAAGGCCTTGGGATTCACTTGTAACTCCAAGGCTGCCCTGCCTGCCCCCACTAGTCTGCCCACTGTTCCAAACCAACCCACTCCAGGCCTCAGGGTCTTGGGGACCTTCCTTTTAGCCCCCAAATTTTGTGTTATTTCACAACAAAACACCCCAGTGTTCTCTGCTTAGGCCTGCCCCGACTCAGCATGCAGCATGCAACTCCTGGGCCTGGCTTTACCCCACCCCGCCTGACAGCTGTTGCCATTTGCTTCCCCACCTCCTGGATGTCTTTGATTTTCTGACCTCTCCTTACTCTAGCTTGTCTGTTCTCTTTTCCTTGTGTGCTCCAGGTGCCAGGATGGTGGGGGAACTCCGCTACAGGGAATTCAGGGTGCCCCTGGGGCCTGGCTTACATGCCTATCCTGATGAGCTGATCCGCCAGCGAGTGGGCCATGATGGGCATCCTGAGTACCAGATCCGTTGGCTCATCCTGCGGCGTGGCGATGAGGGTGACGGGGGCTCTGGCCAAGTGGACTGCAAGGCTGAGCACATCCTGCTGTGGATGTCCAAGGATGAGATCTATGCCAACTGCCACAAGATGCTGGGCGAGGATGGCCAGGTCATCGGGCCCTCCCAGGAGTCTGCAGGGGAGGTTGGGGCCCTGGACAAATCTGTGCTGGAGGAGATGGAAACCGATGTGAAGTCCCTCATTCAGAGAGCCCTTCGGCAGCTGGAGGAGTGTGTGGGCACCATCCCTCCTGCTCCTCTACTTCACACTGTCCACGTGCTCAGCGCCTATGCCAGCATCGAGCCCCTCACTGGGGTATTCAAGGACCCAAGAGTCCTGGACTTGCTCATGCACATGTTGAGTAGTCCCGATTATCAGATTCGCTGGAGCGCAGGCCGGATGATACAAGCCCTGTCCTCCCATGATGCTGGTGAGGGGCAGTGTGGGGAGGAAGGGAAAGCAGAAGGGCTGGGTCGGCTCAGGGACTCACAGGACACTGTGGCAGGAGCCTCTGATCTCATCAGTACGTAAATGATTCTGTTGCCCTTCTCTTAGAGTTGGAAGAAAAGGAGGTGGGAATGGGAGTGAGGGTGGGGGTTATCTGCCAAAAGAGGAAAGACTATCTTCAATAACCTCATATTAATTAGTTGCTTTTTATGCAAAGGAAGAATTTACAGTTTAGACTATTGTAGATGGTGTTTATGTGCGTGTGTGTATGTATATAAGTTGTCAAATTTTAGCTTTTGAAGCAAATCAGTTCTTTCCCATTGTGTGGTGGCAAAAGGATTGGATTGAAAGAATAGAGGGTCTAAGATTTCTAGGAAGGGTGAGATTAGGGAGAAGTTACTAATTGGGATATGGGTTACAGGGACCCGGACTCAAATCCTTCTGTCACTGAGCCAACAAGAAGCCATTGAGAAACACCTGGATTTTGACAGCCGCTGTGCTCTGCTAGCACTGTTTGCACAGGCCACGCTCTCTGAACATCCCATGTCTTTCGAGGGCATTCAGCTACCACAGGTAACCTTTGGGGGTATAAGGTAGGGGGAGCTTGTGAACAAGATCTAGGGACCAGGCCTTTGCACCTATCTATAGAGGATGGTATGGAGAGAGGGTCTTAAACTGGGACAAGGTGGATGTAGGCCAAAGGTTGTATCCCACAGGTCCCAGGAAGGGTGCTCTTCTCCCTCGTGAAGCGGTATTTGCATGTCACCTCGCTCCTGGATCAGCTGAACAACAGTGCTGCGGAGCCAGGAGCCCAGAACACTTCTGCTCCTGAGGAGTTGAGTGGGAAGAGGGGTCAACTGGAGCTGGAGTTCAGTATGGCCATGGGCACCCTGATCTCGGAGCTGGTGCAAGCCATGCGCTGGGACCAGGCCACAGACAGACCAAGGAGCTCAGCACGGTTCCCCGGTTCCATCTTCCAGCCTCAGCTGGCAGATGTGAGCCCAGGGTTCCCCACTGCCCAGGCTCAGCCCTCCTTCAGGAGGTCAAGACGTTTTCGCCCTCGTTCTGAGTTCGCAAGCGGCAATACCTATGCCTTGTATGTGCGGGACACACTGCAGCCGGGGATGCGAGTGCGGATGCTGGATGATTATGAGGAGATCAGTGCCGGGGATGAGGGCGAGTTTCGGCAGAGCAACAGCGGCGTGCCTCCTGTGCAGGTGAGTGGCATATGGTGGTGGGACACTGTTAGGGGTCTATTTGGGGTGGGGCAGATTTGGGGCTTCCATACAGAGGGGCTCCAGCAGGCCACCCAAAGAGAAAGCTTTCTATAAGATTGGGATGGTGAAAAAGAGTCAGTAGTTGAGAGGCGGGCCATTCTGAGAGCTGGAAAAATCTGGGTTTAGGAGGCTGTGAAGTCAAGAAGACTCACACAGGAAGAAACTGATATAGCCAGACTCCTCCAAAGGTCAGGGTCAGGGAGATGGAGTGGTAGAGGCCAGAAGGAAGTGTGGGGGCATAAGCCGTGAAAGATAGGGTGAGAGGAAAGACAGGCCCATCCCCCAAAGGAGAGGGCATCCTTTGTGTGTGTGTGTGTGTGTGTGTGTGTGTGTGTGTATTCTCCATATGCTGCTGTTTTGTTATATGAAGGTTTTTCTAAAACCTGGCCAGGTGGTCACCCTGAGGGCTATAAGTCCTCAGTACTAGGCCACAGCCAGTCATTAGTGAGTCCTCCCTTCCCCTTCCCTCTCTTTCTTTCCCTATCCTCCAGGTATTGTGGGAGTTAACAGGCCGCACCTATTGGGTGCACTGGCACATGCTGGAGATCTTGGGCTTTGAGGAAGACGTTGAGGACATGGTTGAGGCTGATGAGTACCAAGGGGCGGTGGCCAGTAGAGGCCTGGGTAGAGGTGAGCTCAGGGAGTAAGCAAGGGTCAGCTCTGAGCAGAGTAACGGTGGTCCTGCTCAGTTGCTAGTGACATCCCTGTGCCCCTCGGCCCATTTCCACAGCCCTGCCCGCCTGGCGCTGGAGGCCCATGACGGAACTCTATGCTGTGCCTTATGTGCTGCCTGAGGATGAGGACACTGAGGAGTGTGAACACCTGACCCTGGCTGAGTGGTGGGAACTCCTCTTCTTCATCAAGAAGCTGGATGGACCTGACCATCAGGAGGTTCTCCAGATCCTCCAGGAGAACCTAGATGGGGAGGTAGAGCCAGCCTGGAGGCACTCAGAGGTTGGAGGGCTCTATTGCAAGGGCTGGACTGTATAGAGCATTTGAAAGGCTCAGGATGAAAAGTGGAGGTCAGAGAGTGGAAGGGGCTGCAGAGGAGGGGTCTGGAATTTTCAGAGGTGGGAGAGGCTGGTGAGCTGTTTGGGAGGAGCCAGCTGCCAGCTGAGAAGATCAGGATGGAGGGTATGTGTGCAGAGAGAGCCCCACCTCTACCAAGCGCTCCCTGGGTCCTCTGTGCCGGCAGGGCTGTCTGCAATGAGAGCTTCTCCTTGATGGCAGATTCTGGATGATGAGATCCTAGCTGAACTGGCCGTGCCCATAGAATTGGCCCAGGACTTGCTGCTGACTCTGCCACAGCGACTCAATGACAGTGCCCTCAGGGACCTGATCAACTGCCGTGTCTACAAGAAGTATGGGCCTGAAGCCCTAGCAGGGCACTCAGCCTACCCATCCCTTCTAGAAGCCCAACAAGATGTCCTCCTGCAAGCTCAGGCCCAGGTTAAGGACTCAGAAGATGCAGCCAAAGTGGAAGGTGGGTGCCAGACACAGCAGCTGAGCCGACACACCTTCAGGGCATTAGCACAGGAGAGATGTCTGTGCTGATTTTTATGCAATCCTTTCTGGAAGTGATGCCACCTTAGAATCTGCAACTTACAGAGAAGCAACAAATGGAGAAGCGGGCACTGTGTTCCCTCAAAGAATGAAGGAGGATGTAAAGTTAGAAAATTGCAAGATAATTTTGAAGACTTATAAA